TGATTTGAGATCATTAATGGAGGAAGAGGAGATGGAATTGGTGTTGATGAGATACGATACTGAGTATTACAGATTATCTTCAGACATCGCTAAAGAAACTTGGGTTGTCGGAGGAATTCAAGATTCTCTGTCTCGAAGTCGAAGCTGGAAAAGCTGATATCTTTTACCGTTAATCTTTCAGTATCGTTCGTATTTTAAAACACTAATTAAGCTTTTTTTTTTTTTTACTATCATATTGATTATCTCTGTTAATTAATTTTGATAATACTGTTTCTTTTTTTTTTTTGATTTCTTGAGTTTTCATGGTTCCTTTGTTTTGTATCTCAAAGGTTTTCTTTGTTTCGTGTGTTTCATCACAAAGTTTGTAATGTAATGCAAATATGTACAGGAATTTTATATCTACGCAAATCTGCTTGATAAATCATTTTTTTTTGTATTTTATGTTTGATTATATGTTGTGTGTAAACCATTTTGGAGTTCAATAAATGGACTGTCTTATTGGTAATCATATGATAAAATCCAAATGAAAACAAACATCTCAAATTTGGGCCTTTCATTGGTGTCGTCCTTGTTACATTCATCAGTCAGTTTCAAAAAAGATTTCATCAGTTAAAAAAAAAAGAAACAAAAAAGTAATCACTATCACACAAATATGATCAAATGCATGTTATTGGAAAAAGGAATAATCACTATCAACAAAATTCGATTGAATGCATCTTGTTTGAAAAAAAGAATGATTAGTATTAGCTGACAAGTTCAAGTTTCAGTTACAACTTTGCATCATGAAGCTTTTTTACTTTAAAACATTTTCCCCCTTATTGTTTCAAGTAAGCATTCATGCATGCCTAAGTATTTTTGAGGCACATAGAGACCATAAGTGGTTTTCAAGACAAGGAACAAACTAAAATGTCAATCCTACTTAAGCCTAGACAAGAGACAGAGTAAGCAGATTTAGTGTCAATTTCCATAAGTGGCTACACAGCGTGCTTGGTCTTTGTCACTTTTACTTTAAAGATGCACACAATCAAAACATAACCAGAATGAAAGTTACATGCTTTAAACACGGCGAGTTAGCTCTCTTTTTCGCGATAATAGCATCAATCGAATAACCAATATCAACCGTGGAGAAGCGCATCACGATCAGCAGAAGATATTGTAGAGGAATGATCACCAAGAACAAACCTATGGTCATTGTAAAATGTCTATGAACATAGTTTTTTTCCGTTTTCGATCTTTTCTTTTATGTTCCATCTTGAGATATAGTAGATTCGTTTTCAACCCCAAATATACCGGAAACTAGACGGACAATTAGGCAAAAATGTTATGAGATAATAATTTATAACATTTTCTAAGAAATTTGAAGTAGTATTAGAAATGAATCTCATGATAATAATAATTTTACCCTAGTGAACCTATTTGATTATATGACTTGACGAATTTCCAAACAACACATAGGTTTTTTGAGTAAATGCAATTGTCTTATGGATCCGTAAGCCCTCGAGGCAAGGCCATTGACATAAGATAAGTCGCTTCTAGTCTTTAACCAGATACTTCATAAATCAGAATTATGATATTGGGTTTGTGAAAAGAAGAAACTATAAGATTTTTTTTTCCCGATTATCATATAAGGTTTTACCTTTTTCGTACTTTGGTATAATCTGTTTGATACAAAAAATTTGAACGTGAAAGAGGAAAAAGCCCTAAAATAAGAAAATGATC